TTTTCAAGCTCTGCTTCGCCTTTGGCACTCAATGTATGCTGTCTTCGTTATGTGTTATTCCTTGTTACGTGTATATTGGTGCAACAATGAGCGCGTTTCTCTGCGTTACATTTTCGCAGGGCTGGTTTCATGTTGTTCTATGCCTTGCTGCAGGCTGCGAGTGCTTTTACTTAATTTTCTGTGGCGCCCTTTGTTTTTCTTCTTTTTGCCCCTCCCCCAATATAATGCCTTCACGGGCGCTGTGGGGTACATGTAATAAAGTAATAAATAAATGCTTTATTTGATTCGTGCCCCACAACAACCAATAGGTTATAATGTGGTGGCACATAAAATATAATACAAAAAGAAAACTCCTTAACGATGTCTGCCACTGTTACAAAATGCGGCATGGGTCAATAGCCGAAAATATATGAATGAAGCTCTCGTTTAACGACTAAAATATATAAAAAAAAAGCATCAATGTGAGGCGACAATTCATTACCACAAACTTGCATCCTCATCAATGGTGACAATTTCGATAGCACAGAGGGATCAAATACACTCGTTCCTCTAATGCAACGAGCTGGCACGTGTTTCTCGGATTTTGCCCATATTTATTTTTCGGCGTCATTTATTCCGACGAATAAAATATTTGATCCCCGTGATCGAGCCTCGGAGCCTAGATATTATTTCTTCAAGCCAGAAATTGCATGCTGCAAAGTAGATACTTGATTCTAAATGTTGGTACCTGGGCCCGAATTGCAATTTCTAATTGTGAAACAGGCTGGTGTAAGTTCTAAAATTGTTCATTTTTTTTCACTTTTCTCACATCATTACGTTTTGCCCGGTATGGAGACTAAACACTAGCGAGTACTTTCGTCAAAAATTCTTCCCCTCGCACTCTTGTGTTGGGGGATGATCTCTGAGACTACATTAGTGGCCTTTCAATCGGAAGGTTAGAAAATACAAAAGCCACTGATCCTGCTTAGTGTTGGCCTCATGTGTGGTCAACTCGGCATTTCTTTAGTGAGCAACATTGAGTTTAAAAGTTCGGTGATCCATGGGGCTGGATGAAATAATCAAAGTTCGCCCAGAAATGTGCGTCATACTATTTTATTTGCTCGCCATAGACGTTAACACGTTCGTCAAAGAGAGGGAACGCATCTCAAGTCCTAATCCGTAAACACGCAATTTTCATCGCTGAGCTTGAAACGTAATTGAAAACAGTTGGTGTTAGAAGTCCTCGTGCATAGACCCGTTGAACTTCTCCGGAGCGATTGATCTAAAAGTCATGCAGTCATTGCACGGCGTGACATTGTAAATGCCATAATACAAGATGTCCTCACAAAAAGCTCAAATTCATAAAGCCGTAACTGCAGGCTGACTTTTAAAGCTCTTGAGAGGACGCAAAAACTACCCGCCAACTGAGAGGAGCAGCCGTTCTACTTGTGAGCGCTATGGTGAAATCCAAATGTTACTTATAAAAAAAGCAACCATAAACGTTACTCGCCACTTAATCGAAACGTTACTGAGTACTTTTCTTGTTACCGAGGTTTAAAAAAAAAACTTAGCAAAATTGAAAATGAACGCTTTACTTTAGAAAGGAATCAATTACTTTCTCATCGTTCTTTAGACGGCGTCGTTCGCAGCAACTGCGTTTCGAAGTCGACCATCTTTAATGCTTGTTCGCTTTTAAAAAGTTCACCGACAACCCCGTTATAAATACACCTTTACTATTTCAGACACTTGGAGAGGTTGTAATATAAATATAAAAAAATACACGCGGAAAATAACTATTAAAGTGTGAAAAAGCCAGCCGAAATTCCGAAATAGAGAATAGGTTTTCGCTGAGTTTATTAACGTTTGTTCAGTAGGCAGACATATGCTTCATTTTTTGCCAAATATTTTACTCAGAAAATAGTTGGCACGAATGAACTATCTGATTAATTTTTAGGTTAACGAAGTGTTTTCACAGCTTATTTCACCAGTGACGTTGTTATATTGAAAATGGACTGCTAGTGTAAATATTTTCTCACTCTGAATGTCTTCCGCTAAGATTTGAGTAGAATAGAAAAACAATAATTACAGGAACCAATTATTATTTGCTGAAAGTAAAAATGTGATTGATTATTATCTTTGATTCAAAAGTACTGCCATGTGAAAATGTTATATAGTTGATCCAACTAGATAACATTTTTATGAACATTCTCTTTCAACGGTCTTAAAAAGAAACCTCCCTGAAACTTTAAGGAGCGGTGCAACGGTCTTCGTTTGGATTGTTTTTCACTTTACACAAGCTTACTGCGAATATGGGGCCCAAGTATTCGCCTCGAGATTGAACTAAAGGTGGCGCTACTGTCGCGCGATCAGCATCATCAATGTGTGGATAGGAAAATGGCTGCCCCGTAGGCTATCTGCGGTCGCGGCCAAGAAGCTACAGAATATCGCGTTTATTGCCTCGTACAGTATCCCTGTAAAAGTCATTTCAACAGAAAATGGTCACCGTACTGTTCATTGCCTCAGTGCAATACCTATTTCACCGAGGTAGGACTCAGTTTTCTCCGATATCTAGCGGCCAGCGCTCTGAGGAGATAGTATGTGGCTCTCGCAAGTTGAGATCTGAATAGCCATGATGGTTTGCTCTAAACATTTCACCGAAAAAGACTTCAAGCCAGCGATGCGTGACAACTAAGGTAAGTGGAAAAATAAAACTGTTTACATAAGTGTCACGAGTGGCGCAAAGTATATCCATTTGAAAAACAACGCGAAAGACACACGGACAAGAAGGAGAGACACAGGACGAGGCGCTGTCCTGTCTCTCCTTGTTGTCCGTGTGTCTTTCGCGCTGTTTTTCAAATGGAATCTTAACAACTCGCCCAACTTTCTATTCTTGTAAGCAAAGTATATGGATGACTTGTACCATCCTTTGTATTGATTTTTTGGGTCGTGTCCTTTTTTCCTATTCTTACTCTTCTTCGTCTTCGTCGTAGAACATATAAAATATCACAAAAAGGACAAGGACAAGAAGTATACAGGACAAGCGCTGACTTTCAACCAGTTCCATACAGGAAAAGTGAACATATCTATACACGCGACAGGCAAAGCAGCACCACGTAAATGTTCTTTAGGGCAGAAGATACTTGAGCTGGAATGCTGGTGTCCCCCAGCACGATCAAACCATCCGGGGCTGTTGCCTTCTTCTCGGCTGCCCTGGGCACTTTTCCTGAATAAAAGCTATATATGCATGTTTACTTTTCCTGGATAAAACTAGTTCAAAGTGAGCGCCTGTCCTGTATAGACCTTTCCAAAAAAGGGCACTAGGCCGGTTCCATTTTCAGTGTTCGTGCGTATGGCGCGTGATTTGCTCGCTTTCCGAAGCGACAAACGTGCGCGTTCTGGACTGTGATTTAACACGTGTGGACTGTGATTTTTGTAAACAGTGGAAACGTCTATACTTCTTGTTCTTGTCTTTTTTGCGCTATTTTATATATTTTACTAAGATGAACCAACAGCGTACGCTGCTGGTTCATCGTTGGTTCATCATCGTTTGTTCAATATTGGTTCACCAACAGCGCACATTTGATCGCCGTAACGAATGCCTGCCAGTCAGCGAAGTTGTCGTTAGAACGGAACCACAGTTTCGCGCTGCTCTCAAGAGCCGCATGGCGCATCACGAGAAAGCCGGACGGGCCCCCACTTGTTAGACTGAGACTGACAACACTCCTTTATCCGCCGAGACATAGCATAGCGTTCCGTTTCCAACGTCCACGATCTCTTCTTCCTCTACTTCTTGCCACGGCTATATCGTGCTCGGTCCGTAGCGCGGCACTCTCCTCAAAAAGAAATGTATAGATATGCATGTTCTAATCGTGAACACGTTTGACTGAACTCCGTCTAGTTGGGTCAAAATTTTGACAAGTACAGACCTTCACAAACCAAGTCCTAAACAATTGGTGGTCCGACGTTCGAATAGATAGACAGCCACTTGACCATCGCCGCGTGTCAAGGGACTAGGGCACTCGAAAGGGGTATTCACACGAGGGAGGAATCCCGGGGATTTCGCACTACACGCGCATCCTGTGACGAAAACGTCAGGCTTTGCGATGTGCAAAAGCCTCGCGTTTTCGTCTCGTGATGCGCGTGTGCCGGGGAGAAATCCCTTTCTCCCTCGTGTGAATACCCCTGAAGGACAGAACGTACATATCAAAGAAGATGCTGCTCTCCACGTGCAAAAGGTCGCCCCTGATCAAACAACAAAATCGGTTTCTGGAACATCGGACACTTTACTGTTCACCCCTACAAAAAAAATTAGCCAGTCTGTAGACATCTTAACGATTTTTAACGTACCTGTCCACTTCCTATCTTATCGCCATTTTTCTATAAGGTTTCTACAGATTTCCTGTCCACAGGAGTCTACAGAGCAGAGTCGTCAGAAATCCTACCAACTGTCTGTCGCCAACGGTCGTTAGACTTTGCGTCGCCATTTTTCTACAAGGTTTCTACAGATTTCCTGTCAACAGGAGTCTACAGAGCGCAGTCGTCAGAAATTCTACCAACTGTCTGTCGCCAACGGTCGTTAGACTTTGTGTCGCCATATTCCTAGATTTTCTAGACCCGACTTGATAGACCATACACACTGAAAGCATGACAAAATCGTTGATATGAGTCGTAAGCAGTTTTCGTGTGTCGTAAGAAATACTTTTACAACAGGCTTGAAGTGAACAACATAGTCACAGGATTTTATTGTCACAAGATCTGGCCCTGATAAACATTTAAAAAGAATCACACAGAGTATATATACATCAATAACACAGGTTTCCAATCAAACATGCTGTAGGTTGCAGCCTCGACCACTGCCAACACCAGATTTAGTCACCACGATTCCAAATCAATAGATTGAAGCAATCATGCACGCTAGACTTTTCTTGAAGACAGGACTATATATATGATCAGATGTTACCTCAACCTAAACGGCCTCCAACATGTAACTTCGATTAACAGAGCACAAAAACAAACTCCCACTAACCTTCAATCCTACACACTTTTTCGCAGAAAATGCGTTCACTTGAAAAAATGTGGGCTTTTGGTTCGACACAAAAAAAGTTGCAGAGGGGGCTTAAATCCAATAAGCCCGCAGATGTTACTCTCAGCTCCCGAATGAAAAAAGATATCCATTTTTCACAATGTCCAGAACCATGCTCACACATGTTCAACCGAATTGACACAATGCGACCAAAGACACGGCTGTTACCATGACCAACACCTTCCACGTAGGAATTGAGCCGGCGGGACTTGTCACGACTTTCCACACAGAACATCACTCCATTAATTGTGGCCTTACTGAAAGATGTTCCATCTGCCAACACTTTACCCTTGCCATGAAAGACACAACCAGAAAGGGTCCTAGAAAATCTCCGCAGCTTATACCTCTTGACTAAAGAGGTCATGAGGCCCTTCATTGGCGACAGCGTAAAGTAGGTGAAACTACTACACAGCTTCGGAAGGGCTGACAAAATCAAAATCTTCTCCACAATCTGCCACTGCGCATATCGTGGACCATTCACAAGTTTGACAATTCGGCCATTCATGCTCTCGAAGGGGTATGCAGAGTAATTCCATAAAGGCCCCCATTCTTTCACCGAGTCCACAAGGTGCAAAAGAAGATGAGCATTATATGTCAGGTGTTTCTTTCCATATAGCTCTTCAAACTCTTTTAAGAAAACTTTCATACGCTGGCCCAGAGCTTTTAGTTTGTCTGATGGAACAGGCTCCATCAGGAGAAAGTGGATGAGTTGAACAAATTTTATCCAGTTTCTGTAATACGGCGCAGGCAGAATTCCTTTGAGAACAAGTGGTGAAAAGTACAGGAGCCAATTGCGCCACTCTGACGACTTCCAGTACTTCCTGTGGACGAGAGACCGGGGGAGCCTTGATATTTCATGTATAGGTTGTAGGCTTAACAACCTCTGGTTAACATCAGAAACCTTGTTGCCCAGGCTGAAGGGAAATGAGGACTTGCAATCGAACCACATGCATGCAGTGTACTTCACAAAGCCTGAGCACACCGCATGCATGTAATCTACTACAAAGCCTGTGGGAAACTTGAAAAATGCAAGCAGCAGTAAAATCGACACTCCCTTTACGCCACGGCATGGCTTCATTCAGGCCCCTGCTTTTTCGGCATTTTTTTCAAAAGACTCATGTGTCCTTGGAGAGGCCTGCGATTCTGTGGGGAACACACGGCAGTGCCCATTTCCCTTCACTACCACCTCCCCTTGTTGTCGCACCAGGCACACCCGTATGCCCCATTGAACTCAGTCATGCTCATCATTGCACACCTGGCAACCGTATCCATAGAGCACGGTCCAGGGAACACACGGGTGCGCCTGGAGCTTCCACTTGCGTCGGTCCATGCAAAACCTACTGAGGACAGGCGGTTCATCTCCTGCACGAATGGTTTTAAAAAACAATTCATGTCAGCTTTTGTACACCAAACCACAGTCCACCTAGCAAAATGGAACTCACTCTTTCCTTTTGTGGCAGCTCGTTCATTTGCATCTGAGAGGGCCACACACTAAATTTCGATGACTCGAACAATGATACCCCATTGGTGTTCCATGTTACGGTAATGTCGTCCTCAGTCAGAGGCAACACATTATAAGCCTTACTTAATGTAATGCCATCGACATCGAATGACAACTCCTTTGGTCTCAATGAAATTGCACTTTTTGGATCCTCCAACATTGTGCGGCACTGAGACTCGATATCAAGCACAATAAAATAGTTACGATTTTTAGATGCGGAGCATCTCTTGCTCGGGCTATGTCCCGCGGCGTCGTAGACCGCACTCACACTACGCATGCGCAACTCTCCTCGCTGGGCGTGCGTTCTCTCTCTCTCCAACAGCTGCGCGAAGTGCACGGAGCTATCAGCTGCGTCCCTCTCTCCAACAGCTGCGCGTGCGTTCTCTCTCTCTTCAACAGCTGCGCGAAGTGCACGCAGCTACCAGCTGCGTGCACTTCGCATGCGTTCGCTTCTACTCACACCGCGCGCGCAGGCGCAACTCTCCTCCTCTAGTTTCTTCACCTTCAAGTTTGAATATAAGCAGTGGTAGCGCGCTGCGCGCGTTCAAGGGGAGGAAGTGGCCGAGTGGGCTAACGCGTCTCAGCTCGGAGCGTGGAGCGAAAGCTTGCGCTGGGAACCTCCTGGGTTCGAGTCCCCGCCACCCCCGCCCGTTTCGATCTGGATGAGTTTCGTACCGGCACGCGTTCGTGTGATCACTACTGCGTGATGCACGTTAAGAATCCCAGGTTAGCGGTTGTACTGCACTGGCTAAATTTCTCATCTGCAGCTAAGAGACCGATCACCCGTTGAGGCGCATCTCCATCAAGGCTGTATAAGCCTAAAGAGCAAACCAATTTCTGCGCGCGTTCAGTTCACCGATGTTCACTCCACTTCACTCCGTTCTTCCGATGAAGTGTGATGGAACGATGCTCCGCATCACCCCATGGTTCCCCTCGGGAAGATGGTGTAATTTTTTTTGTGAGTTCAGTCACAATGTGCGTGTCCTCACAACCTGGACACTTCACGTCTCTCTCCGAGTCACCAACTAAACCGATGTAGTGCATCGTTTCTGGGCAGTAGAAATGAAGAGATGCCAGCTTCTTGCGGCCCGAAAAGTGCTTGTAGAAGAGATACTTTGAAATTGGAAATTCTGTCCCTGCAGGAAGATGCGCCTCGATCACCCCAAGCATGCTCTCTGTAGCTTCCTTTGTGCTGTGGTGGCGCGAACTGTGCCCAGTGCAAAGGAGCAGGCTTTCTCCCTTGCTGATCTGGCAGCCTGGATAAAGTTTTTCATCCTGAAAACACAAGAGAGGCAAATGCATTACAACTTTACAAACTGCACGGATAAGAAAAATACATGTGACGCTTCTACCGTAGAGACATATCCTATCATTTTTATGTTAGTATTACATGTTTGCTTTATAATCATTTTTAGTGGTAATGGAAGCCACCATTCTTAACAGGAGTCGACCGTAATACCACAGGTAGACAGACCGACATATGCAAACAGCCATACAAAAGAAGACACTTCATTGAGGAGCTGCAGCAAGAAGGTGGTGTGACACTTTTTAATTTCAATAGTCTTATGTGGTTGCCAAAAGGTAAGTGTTCCATTGACATAGTGATTGCTAATTCTTATTTATTCTACATTTGCATTTGTGAAACAAGTGCCTTGAAATTTGGTTTAAATGATGTACTAGTCCATCAAGATTGAAGTCTGTTTTGCTGTCACTACCTTCAGTCTTGAAAAGGGCACTTCGTAACAGTGCATTGACCCAAATATTGGCAGAAGCTTCTGTTCCGTAAGCTATGTGCAGATAATTTGCCCTGGCACCTGCTGCCAGAATTCTGCAGTTGCCCCAGACCGCAGAATCATCTTCAGCCCTTTGTCTAACAGACATTCATGGAGCTCCACTTCGGACGCCTCTACATCTCATACAAGGTTGTTCACAGTCGGACAGCCATCATCAAACACATGTACTATAAAAGGGGGTCGGAAGCACGAAACGTAGCTTGCTTGAGTCCCTGCATATCTTCAAATCGAGACTGAAAATCACTCCCGGAGATCTCAAGCTTTGCAAGGTATTCCATAAGCTTAGCTGTGGACAGATCAAGCTCTGGGCTAGCACCCAGCACGCCGTTCAGCCGCGAAGTGGGGTTCAGGCGCTTTGTTTGCAATTTTTCTGAAAAAGTCCAAGCTTGTTTTGGGGACTGAGGACCCTCTGGGCAAAGTCCAGTATTATAGTTTGTTGCTCTTTCAACAACAAGTTAAGACCTTGAAGGCACTGCACTATGTCGACAAAGTAAGCAAGATTGACCAACCAAACTGCACTATGAGCCTCAGAATACAAAAACACTCTAGTCGAATCTAGCAGGTACGCAAACCTTATTAGCACACCATTCATAAACAACTAGCGTACAGCACAGGAAAGAGATACATCACTCGGCTCATCATGAAGTTCAAGTTCTTTGAAGATGTGATATTGGCGGCGGATCTCGGCACTTGAATGCATGTATACTAGTTTTCACCTCAAGGTTCATAGCAAATAAGGTGTGGATCCTTGCGGACCGTCATTGATTTCCCCCTTTACATGATTATGTAAGATACTTCAGCACAATTAAAGGGGCCCTGCAATCACATCTAAGCGTCTACCTTTTTTGCGGTTTCCACGTCTCTTGGGGTTCGGGCAAGCCAGCGGGCACGGAGAGAGTACCTAAATATCAGTGCGTCATATTTTAACCGGACGACGCGGAAACCTCGTCCATTGACGAGGGCGACCCGCGGTACCGAAAGCATGCGAAATGTGACGTCTTTGGTCCTGGGCTTACTACTGGTTATAGCCGCTTAAAGCTTCTTTTTAGTCGAAATACAAAATATAAGTGGCGCGAACCGTTTCAATTATTTATAAAAGTAGTTTTTGTTCAGAATTTTAGATAAGAAAAGAAACGAATGCAGTTTATAAAGCACGGAAAAAAGAGATGACCCGTCGACATACCCGCCATTAAGCGGTGGGAAAGACGGCGCATACTAGAAAGGAGTAGTGGGATCAGGCGCCGACATGGAAAGGTCCCGGACGTACGCGGCGGCGCTGCGGACGTATGAACAGGAGGATCCGATCGGTTCCGAAGGAGTTCGGCGAGAAGCTTTGTCTTGCAGTTTGGCCGTTTCGCGGTATGGCAGCGCGAAGTGGCTCCTCCCATTCTGAACTGAGCTTTACCCCGTGTTTGCTGTCGTTTGTGGCCAATGAAGTGTCATGCCGAATTAGTGTTGAATCGCGCAGCAAATGCAATGACAGCCGCTCTGGCTGCCGGCTGCATACAGCCTATCCAGAACATGCTTTAGTGGCGCCCTCTCGCGCCGTCGACACGGAGTGCAGCAGCCGTGAGCGCTCGATGAGCTCACTACCCCTCCTCTAGTTCACGGCCACTCAATCAACCAAGGACGTCATGAGGGAGGTTATTTTCTACTTGTTTTGTAATTTTAATTTGCCTATAACTTTTAAAATAAAGCGAATTTCGAGAAAAGAAAACGTACTTGCTGTAGAGCACCTTCGGAGCTCTACAGCAGGTACGTCTTCCAACAACAAAATCAACTGCCTAACAAGTTGATCAGCAACTACGTCGCAACTAGCACAAGATTGTCCGGGGACTGTAAATTTGGAGTACTGCCGACTATGAATGCCGCTTCGACGTCGTCGCAAGAAGGGACCACAACTTCCGTTCTCTCCACGAACCCTTCCATGCTGCAACTAGACGTTATGCTTCGGGACACGTTTGTCTGTGGTGTCCAGAATGAATGCATGCAACAGCGACTGTTCACCGAGAAAGACCTGACTTTTCAACGAGCCTGGGACATCGCCCTGGCAACGAAAAGTGCGGCCAAGCAGCAGGAATCAATCAAAGGAATGTCCAACCCGCCGGAGATTAACAAAGCGTCAGCCAGCGCAGTCTTGGGAAAGACATCTTACAAGGCAGCAAAAGTGGAACAACGCTGTTGGCGCTGTGATGAACATCACAGCCTGAAAACATGCAGGTTTGCAACAACCACGTGCCACTACTGCCACAAACGAGGCCACATTGAAAAAGCATGCATTAAAAAGAAGAAAACGTCCAAGAAAGGTCTCCTACGTAACAACCACGTGGACACAGCACGAGCGACTCCACAAGTGAACCATTCTGGGCAACAGATGTCAACTCTGTATGACCTACACTCAGTAGCCAGCGAGGCCATCGCTCACAAGTTCACAGTGATGGTTCACGTGAACAACAAACCAACGACTTTTGAAGTGGCCTCAGGTGCCGCTTGTACAATGATCTGCATTGATACTTTTCGGGCAACTTGGCCAAGCAGCTCACCGGAGTTGAAACAAGGTGACATTCACCTCACTACTTGGTCCGGCCAGGCACTGCGAGTCTCCAGTACAACAACGGTGGCTGTTTGCCACAAAGACAAGACGTACAAGCTACCCCTATTTGTGGCTCAAGGCTCTGTATGCAGCTTGCTTGGGCGCAACTGGTTCGGAATGCTGGGCATCAAGGTCAGTGGCATCCACCTGACAGGAGGATGTTCCGATATTACACAACTCCTCCAAGACTT